TGGAGGCTGTTCATATTCAACTGACTGTAGTGCTGATGAATGGTAAGAATTATGAATCTAAGTATATGTTTTTACTTTTCCAACAAGGCTGGTAAATCTTTTACTATTTTTACATAGGTACTTGAATACCCATGCGATTCTTTTAGATGAGCGGGTAAGAAAATTTTTGGCATTAGTGCTAAAAAACACCACCCATACAGTCTTTTTGACGGGTGGGTAAGCCGAGCTCTCCCGATGCAGCCCCTTAAGTGGGAACGATGACGGGAAGTGGGAACGATGACGGGATACGACTGAATTTTCTTTTGGCTAGAGACTCAAATAGAACCTAAAAAAAATCTTTATGAACTTAAGTTAACACAAAAAATGAAAATGCACAATCAATCCTTAATTTGCCTCAATCAACATCAGAACTCAAATAAACATCTAGAAGCAGAATTAAGACAATATTTTATGGGCTTGTGAAACTTTGCACATGATCACCACAGTATTTGCAACACACATCTATAAGCAGATAAAAGGCGAGATTGAGAGGTTCAAAGTTAAACTTTATGCATGTTTTCTACTGGAGTTTCGTCATCGATCCCAACAGTTCCTTGATGCTCACCAGATAGGGGTCTAATGTTTAGACGTGTGTTATCCAAGAATTAGAGGCACTAATATTGTAAAACATCACTCATGTGCGTACAGTTGGTAGGCCTAGTACTCCTTAGGTAGCTCCCCAAGCGGGTTTGATGTTGGAAAGCTACTCAAATTCATAGTGACGGTAGTGCTATTAATTGTTAGAACTTATGAATATAAATATCTTTTTTCATTGTTCCAATGCGACAACAAAATTTGCTACTATTTTTACACAAGTACCTGAAGACCCAACCGTATCTTTTAAGCAGGTGGGTTTGAAGACTTTTGACCTTGATGTTACAAAACGTCACACATGCATGTCTTATATATAGGTGGATGGGTTCAACTCTCACGATGCAGCGACATAAGTGGAGAAGACGTTGAGAAGCTGCCGAAATTCTGTTTGGGTTGAGACTCAAATAGAACTTAAAAAGAATCTTTATGAACTTAAGTTAGCATAAGAAATGAAAATGTACATCCAAGCTTTAATTTGTTTCAATTGCCACCGGATCCACAACACACATCTAGAAGCGGGTAGAAAGCGATATTTGAGTGGCTCAAAGTGAAGCTTAGCTCATGCTTGCCACTGGATTCGCAACATACATTTGTGTGGATTTAAGTTGATATTGAGGGGTTTGAAGTTTGAAGTGAAGTTTTGCACACGCTAGCCCGAGATCAACTACCCCAAATTACACGAGCGGATAGAAGATTCTGGAAGTTTGAAATAAAAATATTTGCACAAATTAAATTTAATGATAACACACCCATGCAATTAACAATAAAAATCCCTTAAAGACAATTAAAACCAATAAACATAAAATTTTTGCATGTGTTCAGGCGATCACCCTATGTTTTTTTCTTTAATTGTCTAAGAATGTTGCGCCGGTAAAACACGTAAAACAACAACAACAAAGCCTTAATCCCACCACGTGGGGTCGGCTACATGAATCATTTTTCTCCATTGCATCTTATTTAGTGTCATATTTTCATTTAGCTATATTAAATTAAGATCTTTTTTTATACATTAAGCTCAAATCTTCCTAGGTCTATCTCTGCCTTTCTTAGCATAAGTCGAATCTAAAAATCTACTCTCCTGATCGGATCATCAGATGGTCGACGCTTAATGTGACCAAACCATTTAAGTCGATTTTCTCAAATTTTGTTCTTCACAAGAGCTGCACTAACCCTATCATGTATATATTCATTTTGCATTTTGTTGCTGACATGAATCCTTATGTCACGTTGGGTCGAGTACCTCCTCCAACGAAGTAGACCATAGTTCACAACACCAGAGATGACGGAACTATGAGATCTTGATCGGATTCGTCATTGTTTCCCTCACTATCCTCTTTTGAGCGAACAATGATTATTTCATATTTTTCAAAATTAAATTCACTGCTAATATATATTATGTGAATACATAGCTTTGAAGGACTAGTCTTAATCGAAAGTTTTCTCCCGTTATCGGAAGTGGTAATTAACCATAAGGACTTGTGTTTATATGAAATCTCGAATTGCAGATATCAAAGTCATCATAAAGTTAGGGCGAAATCTTTGGTAGTGTCTTATCTACTATCTCAAATGTTCTCTGAAAATTTGATCCGGAATTTAACAGTTAAGATCTCAACAGTTTGGGGTATTTTCAAATTTTTCAGAGCCCACACACCACAATATAAATGTATGGCTCAACCCTCCAAGATCCTCACTATTATGTGCTTTTCTTGCTCCCCCAACTCACATTTCATCATGAGTTTATTAAATTTGGCAGTGTACTTTGTAGAATAAACTCTTTTGCATAGCTTGTGAAGTTTTAAGAACATGTTCTACCAGCAATGCGGGAAAATATATTTGCATTGCATTTTCCTTTTCATCAAGAGCTATGGGGTGATCTTGGTTTTCCTTTCATGCTATTGAAGATACTTCAGATTCCCAATCACAATGATACATTCATTTTGAGATAAATGGCTGATAATTTTACTTGCTTCTCATGGGGAACATTTTTTTACTTAAAAATTTGCCCTACAGTTTTGTATCTACTCAATGATTTCATGCAGATCCATACTTCATTCAAAATTTGGCATGTCAAACCTCCCAACAAAATTATAGCCTCTCCTCTATTATTCATTGCCAAGTCATTTAGGCATTGGTTTTCCATCATTGAAAATATCATAGTGAAAGTGATTAACTTCCTCTGACGAGTCATCATTATTGTGATCTCTCTAGGTTGTCTCCTCTCAAAGGCATCAAACCTTTGTTGCAATTGGAGAATCCCCATTTGTATGTCTTCTATTGTAAGTTCTTTGTTTTTCTCTTTGCAAGTTTCTCTTCAGCAGTATGATGTCCTTTTATCCCCATTAGGATTTCAGCTAAAAAAGAAATGTCGTTTAAGGTTAGGGTTAGGTGTGAAGGATGGAGGGCTGATTTTCGATAAAGTTATTAGGATTTAGCGTATGTGAGCTTTAGGTTTGGGAGTGGGAAAAAATAAATCTCTACAAATTTAGGATCTGTTGAACTTTGATACTAAATGTCATCGATCGGTACCTAGGTGGTGTGGAATGATCAAGGAACGGGGCAGAATATCAATAGGATAGGCAACGTATGAGGGAGGGAATGATGGTGGCTGAAATTTAGCACAAAGGGAAGCTGGACAGTAGCTTGTCAATAGGAATACTATTGGTAGGCTGTGAAACTGCCACGTAAGAGGTTTTTGAATGTCCAGAATTAATCATCACATCAATCTAATTTTGCTACATGCACACCATTTTCAAAAGATCCCAAGATACAACACTTTACCAAGAAGAACTAGAGTGTAAATAATTTCTACTGTCGAAATCGAATTCAAAATTGTCTCAACGTAGTCTTAAAGCAAATACATAAATAGTCTTCAACACCAAAATAACTCTAAATATACTTAAACCAAGTAAAAGGAAGGTCCTTAGGTCTGACCTGCCCATCCTAAGCGTGAATAAACCCAAATCCGTCCCATGTTGGGCCAGCTCCAGCACGAGACACGTTCCTCCATCTGTCTTGCAAGCTGCACTCCTGCATAACTACCTATGCCGGTCCCCGACCCCGCTCTTGCGTCATTACCTGTGTCCCTCCTAGATGCTATTCCGCGTTTGTCCAACAATCTCTTCTCTTGCGTCCAAAGGACCTTTCTAAAATCTCTTATTTTACCATCATTACGATAACCTTAAAAACTATTAGCATTGTTGTGCACTTGTAATCAACCAACATGTATTAACTTTTATCAAAAGTAAATTATGATATGTAAAAGTTGACATCTTGGTACTTAAATTTGCATCATATTTTAAAAATAACCTTAATACTTTAGTTAGGTAGAATTATCATAAAATTATTTAAAATGCGATTATATTATATCAATTACCTTTATTAGTAACATCAGGTTATAATGATGTTACCCAAAAAAAAAAAAAGGAATGAACCAAAACTTTTTAAATGTGCTAAAGGTTTTATTTTGTAAATTTCCATAACCAATGCTATTTTCTTTTTGCCTAGAATCTATGATGCATGGATATGGAAAACAAAACAGGGCAACAATTCCTGAAAAACATTGGACTCACTACAGGTACACAACATTTAATAAATATTGCTTAGTTATTAAAAGCAAAGAATTTCTTAGGTGGTACTCAAATACTATTTTAAACTTCATTTCTTATTATGGTAGTGGACTCGAAATAAAAATGGATAAATCTTAATTTTCATCATAGGTATTGCATACTACCATCAAATATATTAAATGTTCCAAGTTGTATCCTAGAGCTGTCTAGGAAATGTTTAAGAGTTCAGAAGTGTCCAAGAAATGTAACTTTTTTTTAGAAATTGTAGTCACAAAGGCCATTTCCAAGATGTTCTCTTATAGTATTTGCTTGTCATCTCTGACACAACAGAACTACTTGATGGAACTGCCTGTGCTTCATCACCCGCACTCATTTCCTACTGGATTTTCATCACTGATTTTGTTGAATCTTTAGATTTCTATATGGATGGTGCGAACAAGGCAATGATTGTAGTTTATTTCAAATTGTTGGTATTCGTTATATCCTATCTAATTGGACGGAGGGCTTAATGAATCTATGTTTATGCATCATGACAAAAGCATATTTTCATGAGACAACAAAAATGGAGAAAAATCTTGTCAACGAACTGGTTACTTGAGAAAATCTTAAATTCTTAGTGACTATTTTAGACTGTAAGTTCTATACTAGTGGATCAATTGTTTGATTGAATTTTTTTGCACAATATCAAAGAAGAATAAAAGGAGCGCCCCAGAAAATTCCATATGTTTTCTTATTCAAGATTTTCCTAAATGCTTAATCAAGTTAATAACTTTGGGGAATTAATTGTTTGTGTAAATGCAGGTCCCTCAGTTGTGCCATGTACGCACATTTGTGGACTTGGAGCAAGAGATTCTTCATTTGGAATCACAATTTTGCAACGAATCATTGCAAATTTCTCTTCAAATGGATGTGTCGGCTAGTTTGCTGGAGGAGATGAATGTGTATGGCCAAAAGTGTGTATTTCTAACTTATTCAAGTGGTACTTTATGTTATAAACTTTACCACGGTTATTTTCTAATTTCAATGTGTTGAATTCACTTTTTACTTAAGCCTATATCAGAAATTAGATGCATGTCTTCCCTGCACGAATTAATGCTGAAGATAGTCTGTTTGAGCAACCGTACTTAAATTTAAAAGAACAATGTTTTTTTTTCCCTAGCCTGACAGTAATCTATGTCAAGGAGAACTTTATGGCAGAAAGTATGCCATCCCTATAACCATATCTTACAAGTCTCCTTTTGTAGTCGGGATTCTGTTGTTCAAAATACTTTAGTGAGTAAAGTAAATTAGGGTGTATGCCTTACTGCATACAACTATATTTTTGTTGCTCTCCCTTTCCCCGATTTATATTGGATGCAATTGTTCTCATCTCTTGGCAGCTTTTAGTACTAAAGGTTTGGTCTATTTGGTACGGCTTTTTTGCCTTATTTGCTTTTGAAGTTGTTACCACAGTTCTGTTTGTGAAATTGTCTTCTCGCTGCTATTTAAAAATTTTTGTTGAGGCTGCTGATTTTGCAATCCGATTTGTTAAAATGTGGTGATTGTAAGAAAGTTGTTTGTTTGACTTTTTGGAAGAATAGTATATATTTACAATTCCCATTGCATGTATTTAAAAAAGATATTTACTCTTCCACAACTTTATAACCTCTTCTACAAAAAAAATATATTTGTCCCAAATGGACTCTTAATATCATGTTGCCTGGCCTAGCGGCAAAAAAGAGGTTGGTTTTGGAAAAATGGCTGAAAGAGAACATATTCTCACTGTTACAAACCTTTCACCACAACTACTTTAATGGCTAATCCTATTATTACTACCTACTTAAATTACGATCACTAGTATTAAAATGATTTATCTGGTACATTTTAGGCTGCAACCATTGTTGAATCTCGGAAGAGGTTGATCGGCGTTGGCATACCCTTGTTTGGGAAAGAATTTTTTTTCCTGCGGTCACTATTACAACCAGTGCTACATTTTCTTCTACAAAAATCATTACTACTACTTCTATCACAATGATTTAATTGGCTAGATGATCACCGATGTTGTTTGTATTGTTGGAATTGCTAATTCTGTACATTTAATTTCTATCATCATCATCTCATCATCAATATCATTACTTCAATCTTTTGGGTTTGTTTTTCTTCTTTTTTTGTTATATGAATGTTTGTAAAAACTAAATTGTTAACCTACCATCAATTCTAACTTTTTTCTTTACCGGCTTGTTAACATTCTAATTAACTGCTGTTATTTTCTTATCATTTAAATATATTTCTTTTTTTTTTGCTATGAATGAATCCAAATTCTTTTGCACAAAATCAATAATCCTTGTTAAAGAGGAAAATCCATTTCTTTCAATTTATATCTCAAGAGATTATCTTTCAATAAATTATATTTATGTGGAAAAAGGCACTTAAAGTTATCATGAGTTTTAGTAAGTGAAAACGATTCCTTGTTTATTTGTATAGGCTCATTTTAGTCCCAAAATTTATAAAAACGTCAAATTAGTAATTAGACTCTTTTAATATTGGTTAAAACAATATCTAAACTTTTTTAAATTGAGAACTATTTGACTCCCCACTAAGAGGTTTGGGGATTAATTTGTCACCTTTATGGACGGTGTGACTAAAATGGTCTCTTATAATTTTTCGATTGTTGTCATAAGTTCTCCCTTAAGAGCTTTTTCTACTATTTATATCTCAGAATTCTTTATTATTTAATTTCATTGTAAGTATGAATGAATCTCCCATTCGTGAATGCAAACGTAACTTAATTTTTTTTTTCCTGTCAACAAGATATTTAGTGCGTAGTTATGGAAATGAAATTAATAAGTGGTTCACTCAAGCCATTTCACTTCGCTGTACCTTCATTCGGTGTGCAAGTTCAAAGCATCGTTCCAGTGTGCGCCAAGCTGACAATAGACTATGCAGAGATGTGCAAAGTCAACTAAACTTTGCTAATGAAGCTCAGCTGTTACTGATATCTGAAGGGAGTGTTAATGATCTCAATGACCGGCTTAGATTGAGTATGTTTTTTTCCCTCTGATTTCACATTATTTCATGTTTTTTAAATCTGCTATATTTATTACATTATTTGTTGGTTAGATATTATCAACGTTGCATGGTTAGATGGGTGGCTCTTGATGAATGCCATGGCGAATTCATGCTTAGGATAAAAGAGGTTATAATAGTTTAAGGGCTCATCTGGTGGATTGTAGATGGAAAATTTGTTTTAAGAAAGAAAGGGAGATAATTTTATTTTTTTTACTTGTTTTATGTGTCAAAATGAAACCATCCATTTTAGTTACATCCGATTAAATGATAGATATAAGAAATTTTGCTGTTTTTCATATTTTTTTCTAACTACATGGAAATAAATAAGATCTTATATCTGTCAGTTTTGGAAACTTGGAGAAACTTGGTTTTTCACATTCTTATTGTTTAAGCGGTGGCTTTCAATACAGTATGAAACACACTAGTATTTGGCATAGCAGTGTTTCTCGAAAAAATAAATGAGAGGTGCACCTCAAAGATACGCTCGTCAGTTTTCTACCGTAGCCACTTGAAATTTCTGTTGAGCTTGACAAACAAGGGTTCTCTTGTGGCAGCTGTAGGTGTTTGTTGAAGTATCTTTTGTGGTAAAAATTGATTTCTGCATTGAGTTATTAAGTAATTGTTGTTATTATAGTTTCTTTCTTTTGAAAAAATGTACAACAGCTTTTTTACACCTACCATACCCAATATATTGGGATTTAAAAAACTACTTTTCGCCACATAATTTTATGAAAAAATAGTACAAATGTTACTACTTTGTCTGAGGGCTCGGAATTACTAAGTCGGGAACAGATGGTTGGAAGGTGAAAATAAATTTTTAATTTATAATATTCTTATTAACTAATAAATAAAAGTAGACATAATTTAAAGAGCTATTAACAAATGGAAGTTAAAGTGATTTAAATAAAACAATTATAAATGATTTATCTTCTCTATGTTGGCAAAAATGAGGGGTTGCAAGTAGCTTAGGGGTTTAGAAAGAGGGGGAGGCAGTGGCTTGAGGGTGGGAAGAGGGTGGTGGCAACATCTGGGGGTTGGGATAGGGAGTTTCAATAAGAGATGGGGTATGGGGAGGTTGTGTGGCAGTAGGTGGGCGGACAGACGAGGAACGGTCCGCGGGAAAGGCAATCAGGGGTATGTGAATGCAAGCAGGACAATATGAGAAAAACCACTAGGATTGGTCTGAGGATGCACATGTTCAGATGGCTACGACAAGGGAGAGGAAGCAGGTGTGGGATTGTTGGCAGATAGTCACCACCTTGGAGCAGGATAAAATCGGATCACAATTTATCCTCAAATATGGCCCTGGGAAGGGAGAAACACTGACGGAGAGGAATCTGAACATAACAAAAGGCTAAACCCTAAAAAATAAAGCAACATATTTATGATAAGAAGGGGGAAGGGGGTGGGTGAGACGACAGCTCCTGCCTAAATAGGGCCGGCTGTTCTAACCTCATTGTTCGACTGACAACATCCTTGCTGAACTGGTTGAGCCAGCTTAGCTCTAGCCCACGCATTATTGGTTACAGAAGCTTCAATTTCATTCATTGAAGCTCCTGGCTCATACTATGGTGTCAAGTTTGCGACATTGAACGTGGCAGAAATGTTGTAGTTCTCTGATAGGTTGATCTTATAGGCGTTGTCATTTAGCTTCCAAAGTACTATGAATGGTTCATCTGCTCTGGGCTTGAGTTTTCCAAATGTTCCGATATGAATTTTTTTTTATTCAGCTGGATGCACGCTTGGTCCCTTCTCTGGAGAGACATCTTCTTCCTAGTCTTATTTGCTTGTGCTTGGTATCTGAGGTTCTGTTTAGTGATCTCCTTCCCAACCTCCTCATGGAGCTTCGGAACCTCATGTACTCGTTCCTCAACATCCTCACTAATCTCTGATGTCGGCAGGAGAGGTACTAATTCCCGTGGAATGAGCGGGTTGCACTTGTTCAAAATCTTAAGTGAGGTGCGATACGTATTCTGACTCACGTATTTGTTGTAGGAAAACTCGGCCTAAGCTAGATCAATTCCAACAGCTTAATAATTTTTCCAAAAAAGCATCTCAGAGATTCTCATGACTCCTGTTCACTATTTTCGTATAATTTTGTCTCTGGGTGTTCAATTAGTGCTTAGCTTCCTCCAAAGAGTCCTCCAGGAGTGGCTTAGAATTTTGACATCCACATTGGAAGTGATGACCTTGGGTTTTCTATACAGTCTCACAATCTTCCTGAAACACAAGTTGGTGAAATGCGATTCATCCAATATCCGTTATCAGGGTATAAAATGCGCCATCTTCAAGAATTGATTCACCACAATCATAACAAAATACTTGTTCCACTGTGACTTTGGGAGACCTACCAAAAAATCCATGCTAACATCCACCCATGTTGTCCTGGTACTCGTAATGGGGTGTATAGACATGAATACTTGTTCCACTGTGATTTTGGGAGACCCACTAAAAAATCCATGCTAACATCCACTCACGTTGCCCTGGTACTGGTAATGGGGTGTATAGACGGACATTTTATCCCTAAATTTTGGCTATATGACAAATTCGACATTGTTTGACGTGTTGTTTCATGTCTCTCGTCAATTGGACCCAAAAGAAGTGCGAGTTTTATCTTTGTCAAAATTTCCTATAGTCCTCTACTGTGGCTTTTTTGAATATTGGATTCCATCAGCAAACATCTAGGAATGCATGGATTAAGGTGGTAAAACAAGTAACCATCAGCTTTGTAGTATTGCCCTGTTTGCTTCTTTTGACATTTTTCTCAGATTTTCTCAAAATTCTTTTCTGTCTCGTACAACTCCTTCACTATCTCAAAATTTGAGACTTGCGTCTGCATCATAGTGATCAGTAAGTGACAACGAATCAATGCATCTGCCACGTGGTTCTGGCCCTCGCCTTATGCTTAAGCACAAATTGGGACTATATTAAGAACTCCACCCATGATGCATATCAACCCGTCAGTTTGCTCTGAATGTTAAAGAATTTCAATGCCTCATGATTCGTGAATAAAGTGAACTCTATTGTTAGTAGGTAGTGTTTCTAGTGATCAATATCACTCACAATAGCATGGAACTCTTTATTGTACGTCCAATATATTCTCTTGGACTCATTCAGCTTCTCACTGAAGAAGGCTATGAGGTGGCATTCGTAGCTCAGCACTGCCCCGATATCTACATTGGATGCATCACACTCTACCTTGAACAACAGGTTGAAATCTAATAATGCTAAAACTGGTGCCTTAAACGCATCGAAGCTGGTCTGAGCTGCATCTATCCACTATAATTTCTCTTTTTAAAAGATTAGTCAGGGGATTGGTTATGGTATTGAAGCTCCTGTTGAAATCGCTTGTAGAATGATACTAGTCCCAGAAACTATCTCAGTTAGGTGAGAGACTAAGGTACATCCCAACTCACAATGACCTCGATCTTTGTAGGATCCATCTGAATACTTGCACTAGACACGATATAACCCAAAGGGCATACCATACTGTCATAAAGTGCTAATTTTTGATGGGTGTATAGCTTTTTTGATCGCAAAACATCGAAGACTGTCCTTTGGTGATGTAAGTGCCCCTCAGGCGTATAGCTTTTTTGATCGCAAAACATCGAAGACTGTCCTCAGGTGATGTAAGTGCCCCTCAGATTTTTGTATTCCATAATGTCGCCGAAGTACACCACCAGGAATTTATTGATGTGATTCTGAAATATATGGTTCATCAATCTCTTGAACATGCTATGTGTATTAGACAACCCAAAAGGCATAACTGTCCACTTCTAAATATCATTTTATATCTTTTTGTTATCATCATTTATTTATAATATATAAGTATAACTATGCAAATATGTGGCATCCATTTATGTTTGACCAATTTCACTAATATAACAAAATAATATATCATATTTGTATTATCAAGGTATCTAGATAGATGTCATCCTATTACAATTAATTTAGAAGAAACGCAATACTATTATCATAATTTAGAAATAAGAGTACTCACAAAGCTACCGATAATTCACGCTTATCTTTTTTTCCTTCATTCTACTTGAATTAAAAAACCTGTAATTATACACATGGAGACTATGTTTGCACTCCTCTCCTGATCAGTGAATGACCAAAATTGCTTAAATTTATTTTGAAATTTGAGCAGTTTTAGTTGAATGGCTAAATTGCTTAAATTATGTTCATTTTTAACCTATTTAATGGGGCATTCATCAGTGTTGAACTTGTCTTATTTTTTGCCTTATTGTTTTGTTCTTGATTCATTATATCTTAAATGGTACAGTGATTAGAACTTTTACGACGTTGATGATGTGCATATTAGCTATGTGCACTTAACCACCTTATTTTAGAAATTTCTCACTTATCTTCTTATTTTCTTTACAGACGCTAAGGAATGCGTTATAGAAAACGGAGGGTCGCTAATTGTGGATGCTATGAGATTCCGCCCCAACCTGGTTATATCTGGAGCAGAAGCATATGCTGAAGATAATTGGGGAACTATTCATGTTCGAAAGGCAAAATTTAGTGTATGTCTTTAAAACTCTTATTAGCCCCCCTTTATATGCAACATTATCTATTATTTTCTTTTTTCACCACTCATCCCACTAGCGTAAACGCAGTATATGCCCTACTGCTACTGTTGAAGAGATCCTATCTCTTGTATGTTTAAATAGAAGTGATAAGAACAAGTAAAATTATCGTACTTCTACTTTGGCTTAACTCTCATAATTTTCTAAATTGGATTATTCAAACTTCTGATGTAGTACATCAAGCTGTTGGAGATCTAGATTTATGATTATATATTTATGTTATTTCTTTTCTTTATTTTCTAAAAATCCTCGTAAAATTATGAAATAAGAGTGTATTTATCCCAAAGGGTTATTTTTCTTTCAAGAGAAAATTTCATTATCAGATATGAAAAAATGTAATTCTAAGAAAAGAATGATTCAGCCATTCTGATGTAGTACACCAAGCCACTAGAGATCCAGATTGTTTTATTGAATATTTAAAAGACTGCATTATCCTTTGTTTATTTTCATCTTTCTTTCAAGTCATTTAATCATGAAATAAGAACATGCTTATCCATTAGGATTAACTTTTTAAAAATTTAACTTTTCATTAACAGGTAAGAGAAGAATACTAATTGAAGATGTAGTTGAAAGAATCGAATATAGCAAAATAATTTTTCAAAATATATGGGACAAGAGAAACTATAAACCATATGCAGAGGGAATAATTGGTCTAAAAGGAACGTAGTATGCCCACATTCAGGCACCTGCTAAGTCAAGAATGTCGAAATCATCTGGTGAGCTGTCGCGTGAAACTGAGTAAACTTGGAAAAATGATTTTTTGCTTCTATTTGAGCTCGGAGAGAAAACATAAGCTAGAATTTTTTCTCTTTAAAGCAGAGAACGTTTGAATGAATTTTGAGAATAAACAGATGTTGAATAGCCAACATTCTTTATATCAGAATAATCTTGGGCAATGATAGAAAACCTAGAAGGAACATTTTACAAAGAAACTGGAGTAGGATAAATTGAGGGTCCTTTAATGGGCTGAAAGATAACTTTTCTTGACTAGGCTATAGAAGTATTTACCAAAGACACCAAAGCAGCAGGATTGTGGGGGAAATTGACATCCAACAACTTAGCAACTTCACAAAAAGGATGGGTTCAATTTAGAAGGTTACTAATGCATAAGAAATTTCATTGGGGCCACAACTCAGGGAATGCTTTCTCATAAGATGGAATGATCAAATCGATCTCTAGTGTTAATTACATGAACATTTTCCATGCCCAAGCTTGGGTCAATAGAACTATCATGAACAATAGAGCCCTTATATGATGATTTTTATAATTTTAGATGAGCCTTGGAGCGAGCAACGTATTGATGACAATATATTTTTCAGAATTTATAATTTTGATGCATGTCCTCATATATCACTTTTGGATAATAAACACATCTAGGCGGGCCAATTCAATTACCCCTAGGCAAATGTTCAATTAGAATGTGGATGGATGGGTGAGTTTGGTTATAACATGTACTTTATTGGTTTGCAAAGAATTCATCCAATGAGTAAAGTACGGACTGATTGATGAAGGGAACATTAAGATGAGGTAAAATGACCCACATCGTGGTATGGGAGGCTCCCCAGAGGTATCAGTGTGGAGATTACTCTAACATATGCAAAATGTGATCATTCATCTAGCATATGCAGAATGTGATCATTCACCTAATTTGAGCGACAATATAACAATCTTGAATAATCGGCTTCCAAGGATAGTTTATAAGTATATTGCAATGGTCAATAAGTCGAAAATGGTTATCACTAATGAGATGTAATTCTTATATTAAATTACAAATAATTTCCCACTTAGGTGGACAAAAGAAAATTTCCCAACCCTAAGAAAATGAGATCATGTTTACCTTAGAAGGATAGAGTGAGCTTGGAGGGCGAGGATAAGAGGCAATAGCTAAAAAAAAACAAGCATGATAATTCATTGGCTTTGGTGATTGAGCAGAAACAAGGTGCAATGATGGGATAAGTACAGGTAGTTGACAAGGTTAACTTTGTTGGGAATGATGAGCCACAAAGTAATAGGAACGGATGTAAATGAGTTTCATGATATCTATAAGAACAATGAGAAGTGGGTGGCTAAATGATGATTCTTGAATCTTATGTTAGATATAACGACATTCATTAGGGTTATTTTAGTCATGCTCATAGTTTATAAATGGGTTACTTAGGTTGTAATCAAAGATGATATTTTTGAATGAGAGAATTTGAAGTCCTCTTTGAGTTCCTTCTCTTCATTCTAGCATATCTTTTTTTTCCCTTCTTCTTCTTTTCTTATCTTCTTATTTCTCAAGTTTGTTATGCTATATTATTTAGCTCTCTATAAGCCCTAATTGAATTTAACATCCCCTCTCTAGCTCACACTCAGACCTTTCGGGCATCACTCATAGGCTTCTCGTCGATAACCTCTCATGGGTGTGTCGGCCGTTTTATTGTTCAACTTCACTTTCGTAGTTTGAAAATGTGATGATTTTGAGATTTTGAAAATAATTTAAATATAAATATAACTTTTTTAAAGTAGTAATGTTTTTTAATTTTTAAAATAAGTGAGACCAAACGAGTCTCACATTTTTAAATAGTTTAGATGATTTAATACAATACTACAAGCAATACACTTATCCCGAAGAATAAATATATTACTTGTAATAGGGATTTAATCATCTAGACTAAACAATTTGTGACATCCGTTTTGATCTGCGAAATATTTTTATAAAAAGCCAACAAGTTCACCTATCTAACATAAAAATTAGATAGGGTTTATTTTATCTGGGTTCCTGGTTCCCTATAGAGGCAAGCCCCTATAGTTAATTACATCTTAAATAATCGGAATCACTTAAGATAACTCTCGATTAAGATCAGGTGGTTTTGCTTTCAAGATTTCAAAGTTTAGGTTTTCACGATTGGACATGGGAAAATCAAATAAGAATGACTCAAAATAGGAACAATTATTTAAGGAATTCAAAGGGAAGAAAAGTAGGGGACATCACAGATCCAGGAGAAACCCCAGAGATGTCCCAACTATCCTATTGTTCGGCTTTATGTCTT